TCTTCTCGCGGGTAGATATAATGGCGTCTCCTAGGCAATGCCTCGTTTGACGTGGCTGGAAGACATGCTGGACGGTCGTCGCGTTCGACGGGGAGACGTTTCCCGGTACCCCGTACAAATCCAAGGAAAGAACGGGCGGAATTGCGATCTGAAGACATGGCGGGATCTCTTACGGCGGAGTGATCGTATCGAGTCAAGTTGAACGCGAAGGCGGATTGGAGGGAATTGTTTTGAGCGGACCTAGCGTTGTTAGCATCGAATTGTGGGCGTGAACACCGGTACATACACAGTATTGATGCAAGAGAGCAATGTTGATAAGCTGTTGAAGCGGTATGATGTGGTGTGACGAATGTGATGATAGAATGTTGGGAGGCGACCTAAATGATGCCTGGACGATACTCACCCATGTCGACATTAGAAGAAAGTCCGTCCCATGCGGAGGCATCGCGACCGCGCAATCAACGCGCTTTCCGCCGTTACCACATTGGTCATGATACAGTGCCAAGAGCCAACAAGGATCGCGAAGATAGTAGTCCCTGAAAACGTTTGACGAGGACAAAGCCATGCACTTTAAAGATCGATCAAGTCCTCGGTCTCCTCTTCTTCGTCCTCGCCGCTCCAGTCCAGCTTCATCAAAAGACGGTCGATACCTCCTACTCTCAATGGCTCATAGGCACCTTCCTCCATCGTCGCTCCAATTGATGTACCAGGTGCAGAAGCTCCAATCCTGTCGCTATCAATCTCACGAAGCCGCTCTACGAGTGTCTTGAGGTCGCTGTCAAGCCTCCTCCTTGCCCGGTCCATCTCCAGGCTGACCTCGCGCTCTTCTTTCTTGTAGTTTTGCGCATAATCCTCCACACCTTCATCTTCTTCCAGATCCAGGTTCTGCTGGATCTTTGTAAGACGCTTGATGTATGCCACTAACTCGTCTACGTGGGTGCACAAGGTACGCAGCGCTTTTGTGAAGGCTTGATCGGTAAGCAGAAGCGAGTACGCGACCGAAGACAGAAAGCGGCGATGTGCTGAGGCCAATGCTTCTGGATCATGCTGTTGCCGTATGCTTCCTTCTGTCGTCGACCTGCGGAAGCCAGTGGCACTCAAGTTGTCGGAAGCTGCTGGCAACGATTCTGCGGTTGAAGGAACTTGAGGACCGGTAACCCATGCTATGAAATGACCGAAGGATTGTTGTACGACCGCACCATGAAAGTAAGCTTCGCTCTCCGCAAAGAAGAAGATAGCGGCTGCGCATGTCGCCCATATCTTCCGCATGTCCTGCGCCCGTTTCGTAGTGCGTTGTCGTCGCCGCTTCAGCATTGCTTTACCATGCGCGGAGTTGCTGTATTGATATCCAGGCGGACAAGGATGGTCTCTCCGTATCGAACTGTATCGCCATAGTTCTGCTAAATGCAGATGTGCTCTCCGGACTGCGAGAAGGGAAGCATTGATCGATGAGTAAACGTCCAGATCTGCTTTTGTTATGAAGAGGTCAAGTGGTGAACGGATGTCCATCGTTAAAGACGTTGGTACAGACAGCAGTAGGTCGTCGAAAGACATGATGGCAAGTTGTGGAAGCATCGAGTCCGCGTCCTTAGCGCGGCCCGGGGTCCCAGGGCGGTTATTAGACGAGCCGTTAACGCTGAGATGTAGAAGCTGAGTTGCAACGTCCAGAATATCATCTGTGTGTTCGTCCTCGCTAGATAAGGTGGACAGAACGGAGAAGGACCGCGCGAGGACCTGGCTAATCTCCGCTTCCTTGATCACAACTGCCTTGACAGATTGGCCAGACTTGGTGGGCTGCGACCCTTTATGTCGAGACAATATCTTATCATCTGCTTCTGCAATCAGTGTCAGGGCGAACTCTCCTCTTCCTAGCAAGAAGAATTGATGTAGAACCGTCAATGTCTCCACAATCTTCTCACGAGGTAACAAGTGTTGTAGAAGATTCCGAGACAGCGAGAGGCGGATGTTGGCAATTGCCTCCGAGAGCATGGCAGTTGAAACCGGTGCACTCACTCGAGAGAGTTGTTGAACGTGCTTAGGAAGTAGATCAAGTTCCGAGACCGAATTGGATGTGTCTAACGCCTTCACGGCTGACGGCAATGCACGGATCTGATTTAGCGATCGTCCGACGAACAGGATAGAGAGAGCCGTTTGCCTTGTGACAAACTTTGGTAGCAGCTTGTTCTGAAGGACGAAGACTTGCTCATCTGCATCCTCATCACCTTGCTGGATGAAGAAGTCGGAACGACCAAACGATGGAAGGCGGCCGTACAGCAGCCAGGTTGATAGCTGCCGTAGCCACGATGTTTCTGCAACTTTGCTCAGACCCCGGGCAGTCTCTTCAATGTCCGGATAGCCTGTCTGTGCCTCGCTTCGCAGCTTGTCAATGACGGCAGCTCCAGAGGCAGCCTTTCCAATCATCATTTCGAACTTCGCAGGAACATCCGAGGGCAACATGTAGTTGCTGATATCCCGTAGCCATTCCATCACCCTGGTCCATTCCGAGAACTCGCTCACTATCCCAGCCAGTGGTACGATATTGTATGCACCCACGATGGAAGCATCTTGTTTCAAGACACGGCTTTCGACTTCCAGTACCTTGCATTGGAACCGTTCGAGATGGTAAGAGGTAATCGAAGTAGCGACCGCCCTGCAGATGACTGAGGGATGTGACGCGGCGATTCTAGCGACATGATCGCGTGTGCTTCGATGCAGACGCGACAGATGACCGATTGAAGATAGTAGCTCTGCTTCGGGCGGTGACAGTAGGCGACGCGCAGTTGCTGTCACGTGGTCTGGGGCATCGAACAGCGCCGATGGGTGTCCGGAGAGCGAGAGGAGGATTTCGTGGAGCATGGTCGCGGCGCTGACAGGTCGCTGGGTGCGCGGAACCGTTTCTTCCGTGCCGCCAGTCGCTCGAAAAAAACAATGATCAAGCTCAAGAGCTCGAAGCGACACATTGAACGCGTCGCGCTGCGCGCATTGCTCAATGTGGAGGGAATGAGTGGGCTCGGATTGTCAACAAGTGCCCGCGCTAGCGGCAAGCTCACGCGCCGGGCGTGAGCCAACCCATGCAGGGAGGGGTGATCCGACTCTTTAACAGACAATACCACGTCATGCATCTACAGACTGCACGCCAATATCGACCACCATTTCCTGTGCGCAGAACAAAAAAGAATTGAATTTCGTTCATCTGGCGAAGCAGCCCTCAGCTGTCTGGCAGCACCAGCGCATCGCGGCTGTCCAGTGGATCCATCTCGTCTCTCAACCTGGGCTTTTCGGGCACACACAAGATGGGTCGTACCAACACAAGTACGAATGCAGATCTTACTACAGGCAACGTAGTTGATTGATTTCCAAGGAACTCAGGGGTCTGACCTCCATTGAAACATTTCTAGTCCCCCACAGGGAGTTCTACACAAAGGCAGTCGTGCAGCCGTGCGATACATCTGACTATTGGTTTCACGAGACTGTTGTGCATTGATACTGTTCTTGTGACAGGAGCTTCGACAAGAACCGAGGAGATTAACTCAAGAAGGAATACGGCTCACACATCTCCTAATGCATCAGACTGCTTCTGATCGATCACATCGCATCATCACAACTGTTCAGACAATGGGTTTGCTTCCGATAGGTTGTTTCCTCACGGGTGCAACAACACGATGCACTGCTACATCCGTTTGGTGCGAGTACCATCAGTGTGACCTTTCCCCTCGAAGATCAATGTTAACAGTCACCATATCAGGGCGCGCTGGCAAGGACTACACCTGAACTCTTCTCTAGTCCTCTATCTTCTCGAAGCTCTTTTTGATCATCCGGCAGCATGAACGCTCTCGATTTCCTAGTCGACTTTGCAGCCCAGGTTAGCACATCAGAAGCTTCAAGACCAGGTTTTGATGGGGGAAACGTCAACCACAAACTCGATACTACGCGCATCAAAGCACAATCTGCATCAGATATGCGCATCCCCATCTCGGAGGAATCCTTTCATGTCGACGGAAGGCGACCTGTGGAGACAATCCAACTCCAGTCCAGCATGGCACCATCTTCATCGCAGCAGACCTTCCCAGCCCACGTGGTAAACCACCCGTCCTTGACCGCCCACCGCCACGACCCATACGAGGGGCCCCTCGCAATTTCTCCAGTGCCTCGCATGGTTCAATCTTTCGATCAATTCCTATATGAGCATCCGGGCCTTGGTCTTCCTCGAGTGACTCCCGATGAGATGGGTTACGACTGTTGCGACTGCGAGAGACTCCACGATTGGGGTTTGGGCTACGAGGCGAACTATTCGCTACCTGCAGAGCCAACATCATGGCTTCACGTTCAGCCACAATATTACGTACCGAATCACGATGCGAGGTATTTGGAAACCCAGTACACGCTACCAGCGCAAGCAGTGTCAACGCAGCCATCGCAGTGTATGAACGCAAATTGCCATTGCCAATACCCTCGGCCCCACGATTCTGTTGATAGTAACATTCCCGCGTCTTCAACGCATATCTGTGGGCCTCACGCATATATTCACAATAAGAACACCTCGAAAGACGATGACGAGTGGCTGTGGGTGAGCGCTGGAAGAGATAACGAAATGAGCCAGTTTTGATGGCTGTGAATCAAGCAACGGTGATTCAGTTACCCTAAATCGTTTTGGACCTTTGAATGTAAGGTTCCTTAAATATGTAGTTGTGTAGTAGGACTCTCATGGCCTGCGATGATGGAATTCGATAAGGTTGCTTTGCGATATTGCTCTTCTCTGTCATGTCGTATTACGTCTCTCCCGAGGCACTTCATCAAATTTAACTGCGGGCTGGTAGTTAGCATTCCAGAGACACCATGTGACTCTGCTCAGATCACCCTCATGTTTTCACAAACAGTGTATCACGCGATGTCGCAGCGTGAATCCAGATTTTGCACATGTCTCGTAGCATAAAGGCTGACATCGCCCCCCAGCCAGACCTCCCCCCTCTTCAATCCGAGCTTGTCCATCTCTTCCTATCATGGCAGATAATCAGATTACGCTCGACGTATTCGGTTGCAAATTTCGTACGTCCAAATCAGTTCTCTCGGTCTCGCCTTATTTCAGAAATCTATTCGATCGCTGGGCAGACGGCGCGGACCATCAGGCCGACGGCTCGTACTACGTCGACGCGGATGCTAATACATTCGAGCATCTACTCAGCTTCATGCGCCTGCCCTCTAGGTTCCCGCTTTACTGGACGAGAGAAGACGGCTTCGACTATGCTCTTTACAGCCGCGTTGAGGCAGACGCAGACTACTTCATGTTGGATGCGCTGCGGGACTGGATCAAGCAGCGCAAATACCTCGAGGTAGTATCCGTGGTCGTACGTACTGGCAGTGCTGCGAAAGAGCAGAGACTAGATGGCGATGTAGTCATTGAGAAATATGTTGTCAGAAGGGGTGGTTTTATTCTCTGCCCGTTGGCGTTCCATCAGGATCCTGAAAGAGAGTGCTGGCGCAATGACAAGTGCGAAAAAGCAATGACAGCCAATGGATTACAAATGAGCGGTGCTAGAGACGATCTCCTCGTGGCCGTGACAAAGTTCCACTTCAACAACGAGAATCTGGTCAACGACACATAAAGCCACTGAGATTGGGGTGGTGCAGTATCGAAGTAATTGAGCTCAAGAAATTGTACTCTGATTTTCATCTCTCTCAGCCGATCTGCCAGCTCTTTGGGTTGAGTGAACGTTGTCAGTTCTCTACTAGCGGACTGCAAAAGTGGCTAATCGCGTCAAGATCAAGCCCTCATTATGACGTCGACAGGCCAATCCCCGCATGATACTTTGAGCCACGATCATTTTCCTGCCCAGGTTTGCAGTAAAAGAATGCGCAGAATTATGCTAAATGCATCTCCGTTCATATTGAATACTGACAAATCAGTGTACTTTGTGGATACTCCGGATGTAGTCTTTCCCATGCATAATGATGCACAAGCGCCGCATGTTAGCGTCAACGATATCCATCGATCCATGAATGATAAAGTGCCTACCAACAACTTCCCTCTACATACTGCTCAAGCCAAACACAAAATTTCCTACCCAGAACCAGCGGCACAACGCAAATTAATACTAATCGGCCAATAACATGGCGAACCAATCCGCAATCAACTGGCCATCGCACTTCCTCCCGGGCACAACCGACAACTTCGTCTCCAACGAGCGCATCGCCAAAGACCTTACCAGCACACAAATCTGGGCCCTACTAGCCAACATCTCAAAATGGGAGTCCTACTACAAGAATTGCGCTCAAATCACTCCTCCGTCATCCGACAGCACCTTCCTGCACAAAGGCGACGTCTTCAACTTCAGCACTTTCGGTTTCCCCCCGCTGACCTGCACGGTCGAGGAGTCGGAGCAGCCGGAGAGTAACGGGCGCGCGGGCAGGTTGGCGTGGAGCTCCAAGACGCCAGATGGGCTGGAGATTTATCATGCGTGGGTTGTAGAGGATCTGGAGGGGCAGAGGGTGAGGATCTTGACGCAGGAGAGTCAGATTGGGCAGATTTTCAAGGACTGGGAGGAGCAGAAGCCGAACAAGATGCTCCTAGGACACCAAGATTGGCTGGATGGCCTGATCACTGCAGCGAGTGGCAAGCAGGTTGGAGGAACAAATCTTGAAGCCGTCAACTTTCCGGTGAGGCAATTAGATGCATAGTCCTATATTTCCAAGCAGAAGAACAGTAGTTCGCCATCACAAGAACAGCAGGGTAAAGCAGTATGAAGTTTCAGAAGTATTATTAGCAGTACACGAAATCCTCTATCGTCATCCCAATTTCCGCATCCACGAGGTCATGGCCCGTCGTAGCTGTCAATACCCATACTCGCGTCCTGACGCCGGTCATGGCAAGGAGATGAACGAAGGTCTAAGGAAAGAAAAACATGCTGACCCCGAAAGTGATGTCGCGCCAAAGCAAGAAATGAGGACTTGGAGTCCAGTAGAAGAAAGATCGGGAGTACACTGCCTCCCAAGAAAAGCGACCCTGTGATCCACTCAAACCGTTGTGGTACAAGATGCCGCGATATATACTGCTGTTGAAGAGGAAGAAGGGTGAAATGGTGTGCTGCGATGAGAACAGTACGTAGAGTGACCAGGTGAAGCACTTCGAAGAGTTATCAGACAGTCCTGTACATGTGCGGCGACAGTGGTCGAACGAGAAGGACATTCCTTGTAGCAGTGGTTGAAGCTAACGAGGGAGACTGTGGACGACACTTAGGCCGTTGCAACCTTAGCCCAAGTTGTAGCTGTGTGAGCTGGGGATGAGCGAGGAGCATTGTTGTTGCTGGTGGACCAAGTCTTGGGAGCAGACGGGCGCGAAGAGCTGTTGTTGTAGGAACGATCTGTCTGACTTTGGTGCGAGGGCTTGCGCGGGCGGTCCTTCGCACTGTTGGTAGAAGTGGTGCTTGGCGTACCAGTCGCTTTGGGTTTCGGTTGCCTGTTGAGTTTTGGACCGTAGTGCTTCCTCTGCACTGACTTGGTGACAGGCTGACGCATGTTTGCGAGGCGCACAACGACGTCGAACTTAAGCCTGTTCTGTGTGGTCTTCTCAATGTCGAACGCCTCTAGGCGGCGAATGGTGAATGGGTTCTCCAACTTCTTGTGCCTAGGGTGCTGCTCATCTCTAGGCGCGGCCTTGGGTGGCTGATTGGCTGCGAGGTGCGGAACCTTGGACAGTTTGACAGTGGGCAGCGAACCGAATTCCCTGTCTTCGAACAGAGCCTCAGTGTCACCGCGAGTGACAGCATCTGCACCACGATCATCTGCAAAGATTCTCGCCTGGGATGCGCTGGGCAATGACACGGTTGCAGGACCAGTATTTCCTCGAACGTCTAGCGAAGCCTTGGACAAGGCAGCCGGAGCGACCGCGCCTTGCTGTGGAGTAGCGACCGGCAGCATTGGAGACGTGCTTGGGAGGGTTGATGAACGGTTGGAACCTGGCTTGTCGAGGAGCTTGTTAAACCTTGCCTGCCACTCCGGGTTCATTGCGAGAGGTCTGGCGCCTAGAGCTTGACCGCGCGACGGCATGTTTACGTGAGAAGCAGCGGAGGTCCCGTTACCAGCTGCCGAGGGTGGAAGTCGCACGACAGGCGAGGGCTTCGGAAGCCTCACCAATGGGTGACCGGCTTCACTGCTGAAAGCAGGGTGTGTCTCTGTCTCGGGAGGCGGAGGAGGCGAGTCTGCTTTGCTTGACACAAAGGTCGACGGAGACGCCGTCGCCTCTGTTGAGGTCTCAGTCGGACGAGGGAAGAAGCGCGATGCGCGAGGACCAGTAGCCTGCTGGAGAGGGCCTTGAGTCAGACCTTGCTGAGGCGACGAGCCTTCAACCAAAGGCTTCGTAGTATCGTCCTTTTTCAATGCCTCGGCAAGAGCCAGTTCGGCGGCGACCTTGTCATGCAGCGTCACTTGTGCTTGCCCACGTTGATCTTTGTATACCTCTCGAAGCTCGGGACGGAATTCGCCCTGGCGTTCTCGATCTTGAGCATTCTTCGCTGCGAGGTCCTGGTCATCCTTTTTGATAAGTTCACCAAATGTATCCCAACCGCCGCCAGTGACGTTCCTTGGGGGTGGTCTAGCCGCCCTAGCCGCCGCAGCGTTTTGGGTGCGCGAGGATCGCTGCGAGTACATTGGTTGGGATGGAGGCATCTGTCTTGTGGGGTGTGATGTCAAGGCCTGAGGAGCTAGGCCTGTGCCAATGGGAGCTGTCGCGGCAGGTGGCTGAACAGGAAGTTGCTGCTGGGCACCAGGGCGAGACTGGCCTCTGTAATCAGAGTCGAAGGTACCGTTACCAAGAGCTCGATCTTTTGCGCCGGGAGGACCCCAAACTTGTGATGTCCAAGGTCTGGGTTGAGGTGCTGTAGAAGAAGACTGCGACCAGGTCGGAGGTGCCTGCGGCCTAGGCCCAGAAGGGATAGCGCCGTCTGATTGGTGAGCGATCGCTTGAGATTGTTCAGTTGACAGCCGAGACTTTTCGTTGTCACGAGTGAAGGCGTCGAACGGCGGCGTCGATTGCTGGTTAAGTGATGAAGGAGCAGTCACTGGTGAGGGATTTACTTGAGCATGGCTCGCCTGAGGCGATCTTTTCACCGGGTGAGACTGATGGACCTTCATCATCCCATACTGTGTAACCTCACCCTCGGCAGTCGGTACAGGTGGTTTTGGCGGTGATTGCAATGGCGCAGGAGCAGCCTTGTCTTTCTGTGGGGACTGCTCTGGGCGTGTAGGCGACTGATCCTTGTTTTTGGGCTTGGGTTCAGGCGGTCCCATAGCGGCCAACTTCTTAGCAAGACGTTCTTTCCTCTCTGCCTCTGCCTGCTTCTCGGCTTCCGCATCCTGCTGTTTCTTGAGACGAGCGCGCTCGATCTTCTCAGCCATCAAACGTTTCTGTACCTCGACTGGGTTCTCTGCTGGTGGTGCTGGTGTAGGCGCGGGTGCATCTTGTACAGCTGAGGTTGCTGAGCCATAGGGTGAAGCCGGGTGTGCATGAGGAACGTTCGGAGACTTCATCTGCTGGAATGGCGACTGTCTGGAAGCTGCAGGATCCGAAGGGTCCACACCGTTGATCGAGTGCAATTCGCGTCGCTCCATGTTCATGGGACCAGTAGGCATGTCTACTCCCCGTGGGTCCATCGACATGCGCCTAGGCATAGTTCCACTAACGTTGGACGAGTTCCTCCTCCTGCCCCAAGTAGGACCATCCGCGCTTGCCCTTGACGTCTGGAACGCCGCTGAGGGCTCTGCTGGGCCGCCGTCCTGAGAAGGCCTCTGTAACACAGCGGACGGCTGCTGCCGGTAACCACCACCAGCATCTCGTCCAGAACCCCGCCGCATGTCATTGTGTACAGGCTCATAACGACCACTCTGCGAATTAAACAATTCCCGGCCGTCTCGAGTATCTCGGCCGCCGCTTTCGTTGCGCCAGTTGCGATTAAAATCATCTGGGGCGATCTCCTTCGCGGGAGGTGGGGGCATGGAGTCGTAACCATAGGAATCACGCTGTGAGTAGCGCTGTGGGGGCGGTTGCTGCGCAGGGGGATTGATTTGGATCGGCGACACCTTCTCGACTGGAGGTAGGGGCGCCCATGGTGACTTCTTCTCGGTTGCTGATGGCTTGGCCACTAGAGTTGGTCTCTCTGGCTGACCCTTGAGGACCAGACTTGACTTTCCAGTAGTGGGCTGCGTGTGCGCACCAGGCTTCAAGATAGTTTTGGCACCACCAGTGACGCTCAATTTGGGCGCGTTCGTAGCTGGAGCCGGGGACGTAGTAGGCTTGGGTGCTTCGGCGGGCGTCTCAGGCTTGAGAATAGTCTTGGGCTCTTCGGCGGGCGGTGGCTGCGTCTCCGGTGGCACCGCAACCGAGGACTTGGTTCCATCCATCCATTGTACTGCTTCCGGGGTCCAGTCTTCCTCGTCATCGTCAATGTCTGCCCACTTGGCCTCCTTGCCTCCTTCGTCTGCCTGTAGGCGTGTTGCAAGATGTATACCGTACTGCTGCTTCAGTTCTTCGTCGGTGAAGGTTTTGGGCGGGGGAGTTGGGACGGGCTGGTTCTTATTCCAGACTTTGCTCGCATCTGGACCTGCACCTGCG